GCCTTCTTCAGCTCTTCACCCTGCTCAAGAACATTGAAGAACAAGTTTAAGAATTGACAGTAGGAAGTCGTCTGTTAGAAAGCAAGATAAAGAGGGCAGACAATCAACTCCTATGCCCTTTGTTGTGTAAGTAACTTGCCTGTGCAATTGATATTGGTGTAGCACCAGGATGATCAATCAAATACTCTTTGTCCTCCCGCAAATCTGCAGCCAAAATTACTATCAGAATTACATCAAGATCAAACTCTAGTGCTCATACACAAGCAACCAAAAACACAGAAACGCGCACACATGAGCGCGCACACACTCACACATAAATAATATACGCACATTTTGTGGTTTTTATGACTTTTATCTACTATAAATAACACATACCAAGTTTGGTTCCCACAAGCACAATGGGGACTGTTGGAGCATAATGCCTCAGCTCAGGTATCCACTGGGTGTTAAACAATAAAAGTTGATGTGCATATTAGATTCTGACGGCTGAGAGTACAAAAATACAAGTAAAAGAATAAATCAAAATATTGAAATGTTAAACAAACCTTCTTGGCAATGTTTTCGTAGCTGGCTTTGCTGATGAGAGAGAAGGCCAACAAGAACACATCAGCACCTCTATAGCTCAGAGGCCTCAGCCTGTTGTAATCTTCCTGTCCTGAATTCCGAAGAGCACATACAATAAGCAGGTGCATATTGAAAATACAAGTAATCTTTTTTGCAGATGTATTCTAGTCAGTTTGTCAAACTAACCATATCATTTTATGCAAAAATTGACGGGTTCAAAAAATCAGATGTTCAAACTAAACAATCTCTCTTTTCTTTTCTTTCTTTTCTTTTTCTTAGCAGTTAGGTTATCAAACTAAAACCACTTAATTGATGCAAAATCCACATGTTCAATAATCCAGATAGTGATTGACAGAGCCAGAAACTGCCAAAGCATATGAACAAAGAACATTGTAATCTCTATCCTTATGTAATTTCTATGAAATCAGAAAGAGCATCTAGCATGATTCATTGCAGCAACTCAATTGAAATTTATTCTTAGTCTTTTTTTTTCTTTGTAGTTTAGGTCAGTACTTCAACAAGTACATATGACCTTGATAATCTCTTCACCACAGTAGCAAGTAATTCAAGAACAAAAGCACCCACATACAGAAGCAAAGCAATTACTTAATTACCTGCAGTGTCCCATAATCCAAGGTTAACTGTGCTGCCATCCACCACCACATTAGCGCTAAAGTTGTCAAACACTGTAGGCACATAATCCTATAAAATAAATTAAAAAAATGGGAAAGATCACAATTTAAATAAATAACCATGAAACATTGATTAGCATATATTCATGCTTAATCTTACAGTGGGGAAGGTATTGCTGGTGTAAGAGATTAGCATGCATGTCTTCCCAACAGCTCCATCTCCAACAGTGACACACTTGATGAATCTAGCTGTGCTCATTTTCTTTGCTTCACTCACCCTCTGCTCTCAATTACCAAATTACCCTTCTCTCTTTTCTGTCCGCTTCCATTGACACAAGCCTCTCGGCTGTGTCTCTTCCTCAACTATAAGCTTCTCTGTTAAAAAAATGTTAAGTGGAGCAACTAGAGAAAAGAGAAGAGAAGTAGGAAGGAAGAGGGAGGCTAGGGATCTGGGAGCTGGGTTGAATTTGAATTTTGAATAGAAATGGAGGGCAAGGTGACATTTAATAAGGAGAGGACCACCACACCACCCACTTCCATTAGCTTTGCTGCTTTATTGTTTTACTATGATTGCCATTGGCTTTTCTGTTTCTTTAAGGGGAGGCCAGAGAGGCTAAAGACCAATAAAGGAGGAGTTTGGTGTTTGGTGTTGGTGTTAGTTGGTTAAGTATGGGAGAAGGGAGAGGTTTAATCATGAGTATTGTGGAAATATAACATTGCTTACTTACCTATACAAAAAATAATATTGCTTAATACTTTTTTTGTTGTTGTATGTTTGACT